TTCCCGGTGTCCTCTCTGCTTCCTGCTTGTGGATCAAGCGTGGGCTCTCGGCTATTTCTGCTGGTGCCATGCCTTTGCTTTACTGTCCCGGGACTCGAGCCCTCTGAACCCATAAGCCCAATTAATGCTTTCTTTTGTAAGCTGCCTTGGTCATGGGGTTTTGTCACAACAACAGGAGTATAAGTAAGACGTGGTGGTTCCGGCTGTGGTGTCTTTGCCGATGTCTGTGTCTCTGGTGTCTGAGGTGTTTTGTTTTTCTTTTATCCTTGGTGTCTCCTTTGTGCCTTTAGTGTGCGTTTTCCTGGCAGTCAGTGCTGTCAAAGCTTGTGTCCGGTTACGTGTCTGTGTGTGTGCATGTTTGTGTGTGTGCTAAGTGTCTGTTCAAACAGTTTGTTCATTAATTTGTTAGATTACTAGTCTGTTTTTTTAATTTTTTACCTTTTTATGTATTTTGATACTAGCTTTTTGTTAAGGATGTTTTATAAAAATTCATAACCTGTGGTATACCTACTGACTTATTAGTAATATTTTTTGAGGCATAGAAAAGTTATAATATTGATGGAGACCAACTTATTTCTTTAGTTTTTATTTACTTGGTTGTTAATAATTTCTACATCCTAGTTAAAAAAAAGTTTTGCATACCTCATGGTTGAAAAAGTAAGCTTTCAGGGAGGACTATAGGCCTTGAATTATTATTATCATTTAAAATAAAATTTAATTTTGTATGCAAAAAGGTAAGCTTTCTTATTTTGAAAATATATCAATATATTTATTATTATATACTTATATAAATATATTTAAATAAATATGTATTTTATATTTAGATCAATGACCCATTTTAATTTCACTTCATGTGCATAGTAATGAAGATATCATTTTTCATGTGACCATGCAGCTTTTCTACATCACTTTTAAAAATTTTACTGTCTGTGTGGAATCATTTGACAAAAGTGAATAACTATTTCTGAGCTCTGCTTGGCTTCATTGATCTGTTTACTCATTCATTGACCAATTATCATTAGATGTTTTGAATATTATAAAGTTGACACTTTTTTGAAAATGAGTTGTGTACATTTATCCTGATTTGAAAGATACGCAGCGTGGAATGTTTGGGATGAGAAATGCATTTTCCCGCGTGGTTGCTGTCTGTCTCTGCTCTCAGGAGTTTCCAGGACACGGTCTGTTGTCTGCTTCCGTTGGATCCTGTGGGCTCCTTCCTCCTGGCTGAAGCCCTGCCTCGGCGCGCGCACCTCTTTCACTGGTGTTGGACCTGGGCTGTGTGAGGCCTCCAGCGTTGTTGCTCTTTGTCAACTTTGGTTTGGGTGGTGTGGGTCTACTGGGTTTCAGTGTTAGCTTTTTTATGTTGTTTTTTCTTTTAGATTATATACAGAGTAATGGGCTCACTGTGGAATCCTCACTACATACTTTAGTTTTGTTCAGCCTCCTCCTCTCACCCTGGCCTCTCCACTCTCCTCCTCGTGCTGGCTCCCTGCTCCCACCTCCCTCTTCCTCATCACATATATTGATTCTGTTGCTCTCAATTTTTTTCTCTCTCCAACCCTTCTTGCAAACCTCCTTTTTCCCCTCAGTGACACCTCTCAAGTTAAATGATGCATATACCCCCAAACAAGACACAAATACAAAACATGAAGTCCAGGATCCACATAGGAGAGAGGCATGTGGTATTTACCTTTCTGGGGGTCTGGAATATTTATCTGAATTTCCAGTTCCAGCTATTTGCATACAAATGTCACCATTTCGTTTCTCTTTATGGTGAGTAAGTCCACATGTGTGTACCAGGTTTTTATTTTCCTACGGTCAGTTCACAGACATTGAACTGGTTCCATCTCCTCGCTGTTGTGAACAGTGTAGCAGTAAGCATGGATGTGCAAGGATCTCTGTGAGAGGACCTAGAGACTCTGAGTCCAACAAAGGCATAGCTGGACCATATGGAAGTTCCACCTTGGGTTTCTGAGGTACCTTTATACCCGTGTTTGTATGTAACCTTTATATCGGCAAGAAACAAAACATGACCAGCAGCAGAGGGTGAAGCTCCTTCATCTCCACATCTTTCCCAGAGTTTATCATTTGTTTTCTTCACCACAGCCATACTGGCTGATATGAGATGTCTGCATACAGCACTCTCAGTTTGCATTGTCTAACAGCCAAGGGCATAGAACATGCCAGTGTTTACCATACCTTTTATATTTTTCCTTTGGGAAATTGTTGGGTTAATTTGCCCATTTATTTATTGGAAGATTAGTTGTCTTGGTCTACATTTTGAAGTTTTTTGTATATTCTAGGTATCATCCCCCATCTGAGGTGTATCTGGTAAACATCTGACCTGTTTTGGAGCTTGTCTCTTCATTCTGTTCATAGTCTCTCTTGCTGTGAGGAAGCACTTGAATGTCATGTAAGGCCACTGGCCAGTTCTTGAGGTTCCACCCTGTGCTGTTAGGACCCTTTCACAAAAATCTTTGCCTGTGCTCGCACCTTGAGGTGTTTTCTCTGTGTCTCTTAGAAGTGCTGGTGTTCCAGGGTTTAGATTAAAGTCTTGAATGCATTTTGAATTGATTTTTGTGTGGGCTAAGAGACTTGAATCTAGCTTCATTCCTCCGCATGTTGATGTACAGTTTCCTAGAACCATTTTCTCAAGAGTCTATCTTTTTTTTTCCAGTTTATGTTTTTGACTTTATCAAAGATCAAATGGCTGGAGCTGTGGCTCCTCTGGTCTATTCTGTTAGTCTACCTGTCTGTTCTTACACCAGTACCATGCTGTTTTTGTCATAGTGGTTATGGCATATAAATTGAAGCCAAGCATTGTAATACCTCCAGTACCAGTACTTTTTTTCTGCTTATAATTGCTTTGTCCTTTCATGGTCCTTCAGTTTCCAGATGGATTCTTGGATTTTTTTTTCTAGTCCAGTGAAGAAAGCCATTGGAATTTTAATGGAGATTGAGTTGAATCTGTACACTATTTTTCATTAAGATAGCTTTCCCCACAATGTTAATTCTGCTAGTCTATGAGCATGAAGCATTTTTCCATCTTCCAGTTTCTTCGTCAGCTTCTTCCTCCAGTGTCTTAAGGAGTTTATGGTTGGGTCCAGCCAGTGTTGGCAGCGGTGTGCAGCTGGGGACAACTGCTAGCTTTTTGTGGAGACCCGAGTTGACCCCTTTTCAGTTTTCTGTATCTCTTTCTTTTATTTTTCTATTGGTGTTTTGTCTTTTCTTTCTTTTTTAAATCTTTCATCTCACAGATAATGGCTTCTTATCTGCTGTCTAAACCAGAACCACCTCTAACTGCTTTAGAATGGGTTTGTAAGTTTCTTTAAAAGATCAGAGTACAGATTTGATTTTTAAACTTTGTTGTAATATTAATCATATCTTTGCAATATTTTAAATCCATCTTTAGTTTCACTTATTCAGCAAAATTTATGGATCACTTATTAGTTTTCTGAAGACCCTTGTACTCTCCTGACAAAATATTTGATACAACAAAAGCTTCGTATTCTGCAGTGAGGGAGAAAGTAGGTAGAGAGGAATCTGCAGATCATTATAGCAACATATTTTAAATCAAAATAAGTCCACCTCCTTACCATTTCTCCCAGCTTATAGGTTCTGAAAGAGTGTCTCTCCATACTGAGAATTCCCTTTCATCAGGATTTACAGATGCAAAACTAGAAACTGGTTACAGCCGAGCTGGTTCTGGACTAGCTAATCCTCCTGAAGTCTGGAGTCATCTGACTCAGAACTCACAGCCTCACTCTTCTCTTCCATGGCTCAAAGAAAAGTGTCTAAAAAAATTATGTGTATGTGTGCACATGCCATGTCACATGTGTGGAAGTCAGAGAACAGCTTGTGAGAGTGGATTCTTTCCTTCCACCTGGTAGAATCCAGGGACTGAGGTCAGATCATCAGGCTTGGCAAGGCCCTTACCTGCTGATCCTTCCCACTGACTTCATAATTTCCATTTATGATTTTTTTATTCATACCTGTTCTTAAGACAGATGAAACCATTGCTGCAGCCTTTGCAGATGCTCACATCTAATTGCACTGATGCAATATGAAAATGTCGATGTGTCTTATGGTGTTGTGAATTGGACCCAGTGCCTCAATAATGCTAGGCAAGAACTTCGTCACGGCCTGGAGCCGTCCTCTTTTGTAGCTTCTGCTTCTGTGCCCCTGGCCTGCACCTTAGCTCTGCTAGTGATCTTCAGCCATGCAGCTTAAGCAGCTCTCCACACTTGCTGTGAATGGTCCCACCTGGTGAACGCCTTTGGTATCGTGAATGACGTGGGTAGTTTCTTGTTCAGTGTCATCTGCTTTGACAACCCCAAGCTGCCAGCCTTTTGTGTTTTTATTGAACCTGAGAAACATGTTATACATGGTTTATTATACAGTGTAGCAGAATATTGAGACCTGGGCCAGATGAATGACTTAGGTGTGGTCTCAATGTAGACATACTTTCATTTTCTCAGGACTTTCTGGAGGAGTGCATGTCCAGTTCTACAAGAGGGAAGCCGGAGTTGCTGGAGCCTTGAGTGACTGAGTCCTCATCACTGCTGTCCCTCATCTTGTATGGGTGTTGTTGCTCATTCCTCATGGCCTGGCTTTGTCTTATATTCATGTTCCTCTGAGAAATTCTTTCCTAACTGATATGGGGATGAGTAGCTACCATTGCAAATATTTGGGAAGAGACTCAAAGGAGAGAAATTTCTGGTAAACTGTCATCTGGGCTCTGTTCCTTAGATACAGTTAGGCCACCAGCCCTCTCCGGCCCTTGGTGTGGGCACTGCTGTCTCTGGTCTTTTGTCAGATAGTTGACTTTAGTTTACTTCTTGGTGTTTATGGATTAAACGGACCCAGCAATGGATGCGTAGGTGGAACTACTGCTGTCACTTCTGCATGAAGTATTTGCAGTGGTATCTTAGACACTTACATGTGGGTCCTGCACAGAAAAGAGCAGGTGGGGTGCTGAAGACTCAGAATTCTCCTTCCAGGAAACCTTTGAGAAGGCAAGCCTGAGCAGCAGCAGCAGTGGAGCAGCCAGCCTGAAAAGTGAGCTTTCCGAGAGCGCGGAGCTGCCTGGGGAGGGCTTCCAGGGCGCCCTGCAGTGTGGGAAGGAGGAGGACAGGACCTGTGAGGAGGTGCTGTCCGAGGACAACTTCCACCTGGAGAGTGTGGAGAAAGGTGAGTCGGCGGCGGAGTGGTGAGGGCAGGCATGCACTGGGGACCTTCTGGTCTAGGCTCACCCCCTTCTTTTCTCTGCAGATGTGTATTCTGAGCTGGACGATGAGCTGGACATCTTGGACAACTGTAGCAGCTCCAGTTCAAGCCCTCTAAAGGAGTCTACATTTAGTAAGCTCACTGTACAAGTTTGTCATTGTGGGACTGCAGTGGTGTGGTCCTGAGGGTGAGAGGGTAGATGGAACGTGGGACTGCTGTCTCAGGTTCAGCACTCGTGTGGACAGCCAGAGGCCAGACGCCAGGCAAAGGGGTGCTTTTTCATTTTTATGAGCAAACGCAGGCTGTGACCTGGGAGCTGAAATGACTAGGAATGATGGAGATGGCATTTCATCAGTCTGTGGGTTAGAAGAACTAGGAACTCGTGGGAGAAATCAGCCAAGGTGTAATATAACTTTTGTGCAACTGTATTCTCACTCATTGTCCTTGTTTCATCTCTGTCACTGATAAAACACCAACAAAGGCTGCTCAGGGGGAGGAACAGCCTTTTTAGCTCACAGTTCCAGAATGACATCCATCACAGTAGGGAGCAGGAAGGCAGGAACTTAAAACAGTCACAGATGAGAGCAGAGTGAAGTGAATGCATACATGCTTGTGTTTGGCCTACTTTCTATACTCAGCAGGCCAGGACCAAATCCAGGGAGTGGAGCCACCCACAACAGGCAGGGCTTCCCATCTCAGTTAATCCAACTGAGAAAATCCCTCACAGGCATGCCCACAGGCTAACCCGATCTAAGGCAGTCCTCACTGAGACTCCTTTCTCAGCTGACTCTAGAATGCGTCAAGTTAATGAATGAAATCAAATATCACAATTACATATTTATTGCATCTAACTAAAATAAATATCTTAAATGTTTAGGACTATGAAAAATATGATGTGTAAAACCAGCCCAATATTAGTCTTAAATTGAAATAATAACAAAAAATTTAAAAAAAATTGAAGAATAGGAAAGAAAAGAAAATAATATATTTAGATAGAATTTAAAGACTGTAAGGAAAAATGGGATCAAATCAACTTGGCAGGCATGAAACTGAAAGAAATGTTAAAATAGAAATGGAGAAAAAAATAAATCTCACTGAAGAGTATGTTAACTGGATTTAAATTTTCTAACTAGAGAGACTTTAAATAAATGTGAAGTATAAATAATTCTGTCTGCTCAGTGATTATGCTATGAAACCCAGGAGAGAAGGCAGAAAATAGCCTTGCTAAAGATCCACATGGAGTTCCAAGGATTTAGCCATATTCCTTGTCTTTTCTATACTTAATGACTCCATCAAAACAGTGACTAGATCTTCCAGATTTTCAGGAACAATCACCATGACCAATTCTTTGCTCTTTATTTCCTAAGAGTTCCTGCCTGGGAGACAAAGTGCCTTGATGTGTAGTTTGGGGATGATGGACACCATGCAGGAGAAATGAATGCTCCGTGCATGTAAATGTGTAGCAAATCCTAGAAGAGCCTCATTGGTTGGTGATGAGCATGGTGGTGTTTATCCCTAGTCACAGCACTGGAGATGGGCAGCAGGGAGGCAGAAGGAGAGAAAGGACCTCCACGTGGAGATGTCCGCACAAATGCTTGAAGGTTAAATTGTCACAGACATGCTGTTGTGTTTAATAACAGTTTTCTGTTTATTATCTTTCCTTTGGAAGAAGAAACCATTATACAAACCAATCAAGTGCATGGTAATTTTTAACATTATATTTGAGGAAATACTTTCAAGAAAAATGGTGGTCAGTGAAGGGCGACTACCATGACAGGAGAGCCTGAGCAGTTGAAAAGAGGGTTGCTGGAGGCCAGGACACAGCTTGTGGCTGAGCACTGGCCGGGAACACACCCAGCGGGGACTCTCCCAGCACTGGACACAAACCAAGGCAATATACAACAGCAGCGAAAGCCAGAGTTCCTGGAGTGATAATTTACAGTTACTTCTATTTTCTTGTTTTAGGCATTTTAAAGAGAAGTTTCAGTGCTTCGGGAAGAGAAAGGCATTCACAGGCCAGGTATGTCTAAAAGTGCGTTTAGTCTAGGCAGAGCTGAGCCACTCGGGGCTAAGTTGCCCCATAACTGGCAGAAGTCACTGTGGACATATGGACATAGAAACTGTCACCTTTCCCAGGGCCAGAGCCTAGGACTGCTTAGTGGTTTAGCATGCTGGAGAGCGCTAGGCCTCGGCTGGCCCCTCCTGTGTCTGCCTTCTTCTAGTTCTGTGACAGCCAAGCAATCAGTCTCTCTGAGCATAATCTGAGCCAAGGCAATGGAATAGCCTTGCTCAGTGAGCTCACCTGAGGCCCTGGGTCCTTAGAACATGGGTGTGTGATTCAGTTCCATGGCAAAGGTGGGCAAGGTGAGGAAAGGGGACTTGGGGACACACCCTTCCTCCTAAGGATCCAGCCTGGATGTTGTGTTTGTGACTCCTGCTCAGACATATTTGGTATAACTCCTTTATACAACCACAGCCATCTTAAAAAGATGACACACACACACACACACACACACACACACACACACACACACACACATACTCTCTCTCTCTCTCTCTCTCTCTCTCTCTCTCTTTTTAAAAGAAAGGAGAACTTATTAGGGGACAATAACTTTTGGGGGTAGGAACTAGAACTAAACTATTAGATTTGGCCTTTGCAAGTCCCGTGATCCTTAGGAGATTGGTTTGGATGGCACCGGGGAAGCATGGCTGGGACCTCAAAGGCCGGCTGCAGTAATATTGGAACTCTAGAAACAGAAACAGCTGCAGAATGTGAGGAGTGCCTGGGACAGTTAGCGTCAGGGAAAGAGCCTCCTGCAATCAACATAAGGTCAGGGAATGCCCGGGGAGAGGCAGTCTGCAGGGAACACACAATCAGGATGATTAGTTTGAAAGAAACAGCAAGAGAGAAATGTGGGGCAAGGGCACAGCACTGCCTTTCTGTCTGCAGAGACAGAGCCATACAATTAAGATCCTCAGATAGAGAGGAGGGGCCTGCTTATGAGATGTTCTAGGCCACTGCAGAGGATGGCCTAGGTTCGGAGTACTCTCATCCAGGAAGGAGCACTCAGTATAGGGCTGGGGAAGATGAGCAGACGGCAGAGAGATACTCAGAGGCTAAGCACCCTTAATGCGGACGCACACCCAAGTGCCGATGCCAGCAAACTCTGACATACAGCTGGATACCCCATTTAAGAGGGCTTTACCTAAAAATGGAAATGTCTACCAGATAAATTTGGATATCTTGAAAGCACCAAGTAATTGTAGCCTTGATTTCTAGAAGGATCCATGGGAACCTTCCTCATTTGTAATAGTTCTATTTTCGTCCAACCCTTTGGAGATAAAAAAAAAAAAAAAATGTTACATATTTAAAATTTTGAGGGGATTTTTTAAAATCTGGGAGTTAGTTAAAATTTTTGTAGCAAATAATACTAAATAGAGTTAGTAGATAGAAGTGCTGTGGCCTGTCTTTCTATACTCTAAATATGTGTTGCTCCCATTGGTTAATAAATAAAGCTGCTTTGGCCTATGACAAAGCAGAATAGAGCCAGGTGGGAAATCCAAACAGTGATACAGGGAGCAGAGGGGGGAGTGGGCAGAGTCAGGGAGATGCCAGGGAGCTCCCAAGAAGCAGGATGTGAAAGTACCGGTAAGCCACCAGCCACACAGTGGTACAAAGATGAATAGAAATGGGTTAATTTAAGTATGAGATCTAGTTAGTAATAAGCCTGAACTACTGGCAGAGCATTTATAAGTAATATTAAGCCTCGGAGTCAATTATTTAAGAAATGGCTGCCAGGTATTGTGAACAGGCAGGTGGGAGAGAAACTTCCACCTACATAAATGTTCAACCAGAAGCAGAGACACTATGGAGTAGTGTCTACCGGGTACTTATGAATCTGTGAATATGGCAAGTGGCCAGGACACCGAGGCTGGTGCTTCCCAAACTGTGTTCCAATGGCTGAAGACTGGCCTAAAAGCCCGTTCCTGTAGCTGTGTGACGAGCCCCGCGAAGCTCCGTTGGTTTAAGACAGGCTGTTTTCACTGCAGGCGTTCACAGTATAGAGCAAGGAACATGGCGCAGGGAAGACGGGGACAATGAGAGGAGACAGTCTGCACAGTATACAAAGCGGGAGGGAGAAAACTAAACATTTTTTACTTCTTTCTCTGAATTAAAATGAGACAATTTTAAAGTATAATTTCTAGTTATCTTAAAGTCATTATAGAAAGCTAAAGTTCTTTTTTATTTAATTTGTTTAGGATTTTCCTAGGCTTCTTGGTGTATTAATGTGAAATATAAATTAATAAAATATGTAGAAACCAAATGATTCATTAAAACCTAAAAGAAGATCAAGATACTAGAGTAAAAACATATGGGAAAGTCATCCCCGTAGAGGTTTTTGGCTTTCCTGTATCCAGCATGAACAAGTGTGGTGGTGACGAGGAGACCCCGAGTACTTGTCAGAAAGCCACCTGGTCTGGGGTGAGCCCCTGCCACAGCGATGCACAGGGCTGCCCTAAGCACAGCTTCTGGAATTTAGAATCCAGGCATGATGGTGGCTAAACGTAAAAGAGAGAAAGCACAGGCAAGACATGCTCAAACGTGGTCACCCCAGACAGAAGCAGGAAGATCATGGAAACAGTGAATTCAAGACCAATCTGAGTTTCTAAGTTAGGGTTTCAGCTCCTGTGATGAAACACTGTGACCAAAAAGCAAGTTGGGGAGGACAGGGTTGATTTGTCTTATACTTCCACATTGCTGTTTATCACTGAAGGAAGTCAGACAGGAACTCAAACAGAGCAGGGTCCTGGAGGCAGGAGCTGAGGCAGAGGCCATGGAGGGGTGCTGGTTTCTGGCTTGCTTCCCATGGCTTGCTCAGCCCACCTTATAGAACCCAGGACCACCAGTCCAGAGGTGTCACCACCCACCATGGGCTGGGCCCTCCCCTGTTGATCACTAATTGAGAAAATACTTTATACCTGTAACTCAAGGAGGTATTTCCTCAGCTGAGGCTCCTTCCTCTCTGAAGACTCTAATGTGTGTCCAGTTGACACACAAAACCAGCCAGTACACTGCACAATGTTACAAGAACCCCAGCTCAAAAAAGTAAGAACATTCATCTGGTCATTTATTTTGGTTTGCCAGGCTTAGGCTAAATAGTATGTGGGTGTTCCTTTACTTCCCTGGTACAGTGTGTTGCATACAGATGCTGATCCACAGATATTTGTTGGGTGCTTGTTCATTAGTAAATTAATGAGTTATCTCACTACAGTTTCTGAGTTTCTTGCTGTAAAGGCCTGAAATCTTGCTCACTTCCTTGAATTAATTTATAGTGTTAGCTGTAGATTAAGGTCCGTTTTTTTTTTATTCTGTTGCTTAGGCAACAAGATTTCTCCATGCCTACTTGCCTTCTGTTGCCAAGGCAACAGGGTGTAGTTGGCTGGCTGCTCTGAAACATGGGGTGTTTGCCGTGTCAGAGATTCCTGCAGTGAATACCTTCTTTGTGAGGATGCTTTTACTTGAGGGTGTGCTCCTGACTCTAATCTTTGTAGAGAGAGATGGCTGCAGAGGTGTCTGACCATCCAGCATCACAGATGTGACCAGAAGGACCCACAGTCCCCCCCACCATGCACACACAGCCATCTCATTATTTACGTGCAGCCATCCTGCCTCCACTTCTCCTTCATAATCTGGGTCTCATTTTGCTTCTTTTGAATATGGATGCTTGATCACTGCTTACCAGAGTCAACCTGGCCTCTCTCTCTGGCAGGGTCACAAGCCAGCAATGTCCCCAGCAGCACCACTACAGCAGACAGTGCTATGCCACCAGGAAGAACTATCCCTTTCCTATGGCACTTCTAAGATTGCCTGGCTGGTGCTCATTTGCTTCCAGCCATCGGTACAGTCTGAAGGGAAGGCCAGGAGCCTGGCACCACCCCCTCACCGAGATACCAACTCTGTTAACATTGCTAACCGTGGATGAAGACCTTGACTAAACATGAGAGCCCAACTTCCCTCAGTTCACCTCTCCTGCCTGTCATGGTCATGAATGTTGAAGATTTCTAGTTATCTTGTATGTCATGGCTGCAGTGACCTCAAATGACATGTATTATAAGCCAAGCTTCTCATTTCCAATGATGTATTTAAAGGATTTCTTTGAGAGAAAATTCTAGAGCTTACTATTTCACGGCCAGGACTTTAATGACAAAATAATTATCCAAGTAATTCACGCTTTTCTGACAAAATAATTACCAAACCAATTCACACTGTGCTTTCATTAATTTAGAGTGAAATCTGTTTTAGAAACCACAGAGTTCGGCTGCATCTCCTGCCTTCCCACTGACTGCTGTGGAGGGAGGTCTAGGCTAGCACTCACTTCAGCATGGTCGTCTCCTCGGGCTTATGAGCTGTGGACTAGTTCATGCTACATCTGAGGACAGCTGGAGGTCATGACCTGTAGAATCCTTTCAGCTTCTGAAGGGCTGTCGCCAGCTTTAGAAGCCGTTTGTGCCCATTTAAAAACTTTCATTAGACAGCGTCTTCAATATGCTAAGTCTTCTCACCAGAAAACATGTCTGAAATCTCTCCTGTGTTAAATCATCCCTGTGGCCAGCTTGAGCTCTTGTGGGAATGCCATCATCTGGAATCACAACTGTCCATAGGTCATAAGCATTCTGTGTGCCTCCATGCAGAATTTCCTCAGGCTCTGCCTCATTCCTACCATGTCTGCCTGTGGGCCCAGCAATTGCCCAGGAAGAGCTGTGGCTTCTGTTTATAGTGGAGCTATGCCATTTTGAAGTTACAAATGACTGTCCCTCCTTGTGACTGGCTCATCTTCAGAGAAATTAATGGGTTTTCTGCTGCACTGCGGAGAAAGAAACTCTGAGACTATGTGGGTGGTTTCTTTTCACTACCCACGCAGGGCCTCTATGGAAAGAATAAGTGTGTGTGTGTGTGTGTGTGTGTGTGTGTGTGTGTGTGTGTGTGATGTTTTCCGTGAACATTCTCTAAGGCTTGTTTTATTTTTAAGTACGTGTGTGTATGTATATGTGCCCACAGAAAACAGCATTGGGTGTTGAATCCCACTTGGAGCTTGGAGTTATAGGTGGGTGTAAGTTTCCCTATATCAGTGCTGGGAACCAAACTTGGGCAAGAGAAGTATGTGCTCTTAACCACTGAGCCATCTCTCTAGCCTCCACCTTAAAGCTTACTAAAGAAGAATCTAGAATTGTACAGAGCAGCACATAAGTTGGAGCAGCTGAGCACAGTTGGGGGATCCATGTCATTTTTCCCATCACACATACTATTTAATAAGAATATTTGAAATAACTAACTCAGTTTGTGTGTTACCAGCCTTTCCAGAACATCTGTCAACACAAATGAAAGCTTTCCACAAGTTGTATTTTAATTCACTTCTAAGGCAATGAGGACCATGAGGTGTCAGGCCAGCAGCTCTGTGCACTGAGTAATGTGTGGGTGAGGGATAGTGGCCAACGGCTTCTATAGAAAGTCAGGACAGTTTAATATGGAGATAGCTGGGCACATGTGTTGACTTGAGCAGTCGAAACTGTGCCTAGTGCCACTGAGGCACCCAATGTTTAGTTTGATATTACTTTAAATGCAAAACAGTATAAAACATTCATTTTCAAAGGTTGGTATTTTGGATATGTTTGATGAAAAATATAAGATTAATCTCACCTTTTTCTTTTTACTTTTTAAAAATGTGTCTACCTAGAAAGTTTTAAAAATCAGTGGTAAAAGGAGGTGGAAAGCAATAAAGGAAGAAGCCATTCGTGGTGCAGAGTCTGGGGATTTTTTCTCGCATTTAAACTTGATTGGTTGGTAAATGCGTGCCAGCTTTGTTACACTTCATAACTTAGATATGAGCTGCATGTGAATACTGAAAATTCTGTGATAAAGGGAAGTGAGGGGGCAAGACAATTGTCAGCGTGTTAGCGAGAGGAGTCCACACCTCACATTTGGGGCTGCTGAGCAGACTCCCACCATGCACCTCACTGGTGCTCAGCATGTACCTGTTGGATTGGGTGGCATCATGTGACCTGTTAGGGTGCAGAAAAGTAGTAAAAAGTAGGTTTTGCATTCCAGTAGGAAGAGGAAGAGGAAGGTTGTTCACCAGTATCCCCGATGGGGGTGAAGGCCACCCCCACAGACTCTGGGACCAACTTCTAAAATGGTTGGGCAATCTAGAATTGAAGCATGGAGGAAGGGTGTTAAGAGCACTGGAAGCCCTATGAAAATGTAACTGTTACAATGTAAAAATGATTTCCTCTCGTAGAAATATTATACGATGGTTGGTTTTTAATTTTTACTTTTTATCTGAAGGACAAATCATGGAAAATACTACACATAAAAAGTTAAATGATTTTTAATACAAAAATCACAGCCAATGAAGGTTTAGCTATGTAGCAAGTTTGAGACTAGCCTGAGCTTCACACTCTTGCTCATCTCAAAGATTTGCTCATCACAAACCACCTTGGCAGGACAAGGTGCTTCTGTTTGCCAGCCCAAAGTCTATCTTGCATTCAAAATGCTGGTTTCTCTCTTTATTGAATGTAGCACAATGCAACTCTCAGTAACTGTTCATCACTAGGTGGAAGTTTCCTAATGGCCCCTATCTGATTCTGTTTCCAGGGACTTCATTGGAGGCCTGGGATCAAGACCAAGACCAGGTAACTCAGAGCTGATCCTAGTCATGCCTTCCTGCAAGCTTGTATGAGCTCACCCTCTCTGCTATTCTCTCCTCAGCTTTGCTGCCTCTCGACTTGCTTTTGAAAGCCCGCATGCCCAGGACACACTTAAGGAAGGAGAGGCGAGTTAGTGGCAGGGTGACCGTTAGAGCCTGCCTGCTGGGATTCTCCACAGTCCCAAAGATCATGGCGGTACTCGGTAGATCATTTTGATATTAAGCACATGATGAGTGAGTCTAAGATATCTTGAATGATACCCAGGGGAAATTGTGACACATAGGAGGAGAATTCTGACTGACTTGCTGTTCAGTGGCACAGAACTGATCAAACTATTATAAGCTGTTTTCCCAAAATTTGCATTTCTGCCTTCATGAAAATATTAACCACTTACTCTATAAAGTATATAGCTACTCCAAAAAACAGTGACTGTATTTTTATGTAGATATTTTTTATGAAAACTCAACCTCTCCAATATTCCCATTTCTTTTACTCTGACTGACACAGTTATTTTTCTAGACACAGTTATTTTTGCTTGATTGAAAAGAAATGATCACATCATTTCTCTGAGTTTAAAATTACCCTTAGATTTTATTTTATCTATATTACTGTGTATCTGTGCTGTGGCACACCTGTGGAGGTCAGGGGACCACTTGGTGGCTTCAGTTCTCTTCTTCCACAGTGGTTCATAGGGACTGAACTCTTGGCTTCAACAGCAAGTGACCTTACCCACTGAACCCTCCCACCAGCCTAAAACTATGTATCTTTAGATGTAAATGTTTATAAAGATTCTGTGGTACAAGAAGAGTAGGTTACTTAGTTTTCTATTTCTAGCAAGGATTATTAAGGGAGACCAATGTCCAATAGTAAAATTATCAACTAAACCCAGATGGTTCAGCAGACACTTGGTTCCCTTTTTTATATGTGAGTATATGATTCTTGAGCAAATGTATTTTAGCATGTGGGTCATTTGGAGTTACTGTTTGGGGCCATTTTCAATTTTACTCCTTAATTCACACTTGATGTCTTTAATGTGTTCAGCGAGCACAGATAAGATGGATGAAGTTACAGTAATTTTAGGCTCTTTCCAGTTAGTAAACTTTCTTTCTTTCTTTCTTTTTTTTCAAGACAGGGTTTCTCTGTGTAGCTTTTGGAGCATGTCCTGAATCTCACTTTGTAGACCAGGCTGGACTCAAACTCACAAAGATTTGCCTGGCTCTGCCTCCCAAGTCTGGGATTAAAGGCGTGTGCCACCACTGCCCGGCTAGTAAACTTTCTTTGAAAGTGTTATGGACAATTTAAGGCTGTCACAATGGCAGTATAGATGCAAAGAGAGATGGTTTTATTGTTAAAATGCCTAAAAGTGTCACATTGACCCTGGCTGCCATACTTTGCCACTTTTTGGCAAAAGTGAGTCAACAATATAAGTGTGGATCTGAAATGATGGATGTTTTAGGCTCTTAAACAGTGAGAGCAGAATTCCTACACATGCAAGCAAGCCATGGCCTATGCGTCACAGAAATTTGGTTAGTTTTGAAAAATGGATTGAGTTGGTATAGTGTAAGATTTGATTTTAACCAAACAATTTACACTGCAAATATATATATATATATATATATATATATATATATATATGTAATCTCTTTATACTTTGCCTTTAAAAAAAGTATGAACCACAGGCACTAACACATTTTAAGTGTCAGTGAATGCTACCTTTGACTCAAAGAACAAGTTTTATTTTTACTAATCATGTGGAGCAAACTCACGCACACGAGGAACAGGCGATTCTGCTTCTGAGTTCAAACTTTGGATCTTTATTATCCTCCATTTTAATGCAAAACTGCTTTCCTGCCTATTGTAAATGTACTTTAAAAAGTGTTGCAGGTAAATTTGGACACTGTTGGTTTAACAAGTTACAAATAGCTGGCAGTGGGCAGTTTGCTCACCTGCCCATGACGCCACTCCAGGCACAACTTGAGACTTTCCTCTGTGAGAGTAAAGGGTGATACTGACTGCACACTTCCACCATATGGGTGAGGACATCTGTTGTGGATCGCACTAGCATCACTTGGCTATGAGGAAGACACACAATGACATGTGTGAGTGATTTTTTTTAGGCATGCTCTATTATTGTATTTTTGCTTATTTAACCTTAAATTAAACTTTCTTAGATGGAGAGGAACACATTTGAAATTAAAAAAAAAATACCATCCACAGCCCTGAATTTCCTGAGTGTTCTGTTACAAATGACAGGGAAGAGAGAATTTAGTGAAACCCTGAGCAGCCCCAGGAATGTGTCTAGCATATGGGAACCATTCTCCCTGTGCTGTGCAAGGACAGAGGTGAGAACCATGAGTTTGGAGTTGCATGTCACTGTCTAATGTGATTGTGACTGGTTCTTAGGGACCTTTGAGTCCATAGTATGATAACAGCAGAACTGAGAGGCACCCCAGTCCTGTAGAATCATGAATGCCGAACTACCACAGTTAATGCTGTTAAAAGACCCCACGCCGTCTTTTCCTGCTAACTAGATTGTGGCGATAGTATGTTGCGTTCATAGTCCTTGGGCTGAGTAACAGATGGAGCTCCCTGTCTACAGCTCTGAAAACTTAGAGTGAAAGTGCCAGCAGGAAGTAGCATGGAATCCATGAGTGAGTGAACATGTTAGTTCAGTCACTTGTGATATCTTCTGCAGATTTTACCATAGCCAAGGGCTGTTTATATCATTTCTCTAAGCTTTCTCCATTTGAACTTTTTTGCTGACGTTTATATTATCTCTGTAATGGGAAGTCAGCACAGTGTCATTTGCCCTAAATAGAGGACAGTTCTAAACACAAATAAAAATCTTATGAAAACCCCTGACTTCTGTGCAGGCAGATTCTGCTGCCTGTTCACCCTGAGCTCTGGGGCCATCATGAGAAGCAATAAGCTAGCATTTGAGAAACTGAAGACATATGTGTGCCTCACTAAACTTCACTCATGATGTTATCAGTATGAAGAAAAAAAGAAAAGAAAATTGGAAAAGGAATATATTTTCTATGGTGCCGTTCCACACTTGGTGTGAGAGAGCATCAGGTCTCAGGAAACCCTGCTCTTTATAAATAATTGATTGGGTCTGTGCCCACATAGTCATATAACTAGTCACTGCTGACTGTTCTCTTTTCAAGGCAAGGAAGATGGCGTATGTCTGTGAAAATTAAATCACATAAAAATGTAACATAGGAATATATTCCTTCCACATATGTGAAGTACACTGTAATGAACGTCATTAGTGTGGGTTGAATTTGTGTGTGTGTGTGTGTGTGTGTGTGTGTGTGTGTGTACTTTATGAATGTGTTCATGTGTGTACACGTGTGTATGTGCAGGTATGGTGGATGCCAGAGGGTGATGTCAAGTGTCTCAATTACATGCTACCTTATTTTTTGAGAAAGTGTTTTTGGCTGAACCTGGAGCTCATCCATTTGACTGGGCTAGGTGGCCGATGCACTTCAGGGATCCTCCTGCCTCTGCTTCCCCATGGCTGGGATTGCAAGTCTGTGATTCTGTGCCTTTTACGTGGGTGCTGGAGATCCAAGTTCAGGTGCCCATGCTGATGAGCAAGCGCTTCGCCCACTGAGCCTCCAAGTCAAACTCCTAAGTGTAAAGTGCTCTCAGCCAGGAGCATGGCCAGATGTGGCTGGAGTAACCCTGATGGTCCCTCCCTCCCTCCCTGCCTCCCTCCCTCCTCAGCTTTTCATTTAGACAGAACATGACACCCAGGCACTGAGTTGATGTATGAGGGCTCTCAGTCTGCACTATCAATAGAAACTGTCACTTCACGATTGCTGGGCTCTTAGATAGGTGACTTTAAATGACTGTGATCTATTTTTGTACTTGTCCTTTGTTCATAAAAGTCAGCTCTGAATCAAGTAGTCTGTGTTTCACCTGAATATTCCAGAGTCACAGATCATGTTCTGGCTGGCTTCCTGTGGACGCCCTTTCTGGTTAGTTATGCTGTGTGAAATGACTTTCTATGATAGCCAACGCAGCCACATGTTTACCTTATTGTATCACATGGCAACCTTCTTAGGACATAGGAGCTCAGCAGATTTTTGTTCAAATGCCTGTGCTAGTGGCCTATACAATGCAACTTGGCACATAATTGTGTGCCTTTCTGTATTTCTGTTGGAATTTGGAGTATATTGTTTATATCTCTCAACTAGCTGGTAAGCATCTTGAGTAGACATTTACACACACATACACACACACACACACACACACACACACACACACACACACACACACACACGTGTGCACACGCTCCTTTGAGGTCAGACATTCGAAATGATTTGTTGAGTAACCATTGCAGACCCATTGCTACAAAGTTCCTTGTTTCTCTTCACATCTGATCTGAAATCCAAACTCAGAAACACTCCAAAACCAGAAGCTTTGCATACTGATGCGAATGATTCTCACCTGATGTCATATGCTGAATTCCAGTCAGCAAAGACACTGTGTGAAATCATGGCCAGGTTGTGTGTGTCTTAGGTGTGCACGAACTATTATGTTTTTAAATGTATATGAACTGTAAATGAAATTTGGGCTCAGACTTTACTCCCATTCTCAAGATAGCTCATCATGTGTGTACTAATATGTCCAAATATGAAGCAGTCTAAACTTCAAAGCATTTCTCTTCCTAAATAAGTCAGAGAAAAGCTCCTCATCAGAATTTTGCTTTTAGGTTTGGGACTAGGGTTGTAGAAGGAGGGACAAACTCATTTTACCAGTGATGACTTGCTTTCTAGTTCTTCATGCCAAGGAGACACTGAGCAAGGTATGCCAGATCCCAGGAGGATGCTCCCTATAGAGGAGGATATTTTCATCATTTTGCTATATTTTATGTTTAGTTATGTGTATGTGTGCATGCTTGTGTGTGGGCATGCGGTGCATGAATTTAGGTGTCAACAGAGGCCAGAGGCATCAAATTCACTGGATCTAGAGTTATA